TAACATCAACTTCTATGCAGGGGCCTTCCTGCTGGCCTGCATAAGCTTCGACCGCTACCTGAGCATCGTGCATGCCACCCAGATCTACCGCAGGGACCCCTGGGTACGTGTAGCCCTCACCTGCATAGTGGTCTGGGGACTCTGTCTGCTCTTTGCCCTCCCAGACTTCATCTTCCTGTCGGCCAGCCACGATCAGCGTCTCAATGCCATTCACTGCCAGTACAACTTCCCACAGGTGGGTCACACCGCTCTGCGTGTACTGCAGCTGGTGGCTGGTTTCCTGCTGCCCCTTCTAGTCATGGCCTACTGCTATGCCCACATCCTGGCTGTGCTGCTGGTCTCCAGAAGCCAGAGGCGCTTACGAGCCATAAGGCTGGTGGTGGTGGTGGTGGTGGCCTTTGCCGTCTGCTGGACCCCCTATCACCTGGTGGTGTTGCTGGATATCCTCATGGACCTGGGCGTTTTGGCCCAAAACTGTAGTCGCCAAAACCATGTGGATGTGGCCAAGTCCGTCACCTCGGGCATGGGCTACATGCACTGCTGCCTCAACCCACTGCTCTATGCCTTTGTGGGGGTCAAGTTCAGAGAACAAATGTGGATGTTGCTCATGCGCCTGGGCCGCTCGGACCAGAGAAGACCCCAGCGGCAGCCACCATCTTCCCGGCGGGAATCGTCCTGGTCTGAGACGACAGAGGCCTCCTACTTGGGCTTGTAATTCTGGGATGACACTGTGGCCTGTGCAACCTAAGTCCTAACACCTGCAGGCTCTTCTCCTCCTTGCGGCTGGGCTAGCTTTGACTCACCCGTAACTTGGCTGCTGGGCCTCACTGGCAGCCCAGCACCTCCAGGGCTCCAGAGAACCACTCTCCCAGCTCCAAGGACAGCGCCATTGCTGAGCTTCAGCTGCAGGCCTCTCTTGCCATGTCAGAGCTAGCTGCCTGGGAACCTCCCACCCTCCCAACTCCACCTTCCCTGTGTGAGGGGCGGGCGAGGTGAGGAGCAGAGAGCGCCAGGTCTTGCTCATCACTGAATGCGCCTATGGTCCCCAGTATCTCAATATCTGCCCACTTTTATGTCTAAAACTCCGCTTAAACTTTCAATAAACAAGAGAATGAGGACCAGGGTGTATGCACAGTCATCATTTGGGCCAGGCCTGACTGGACTCGGGAGTGCACTTCCTGCCTCATCCTGCCTGGCCTACGGTCTGCCTTTCTGCCCTCCCGGGCTCTGCTGAGCCCTCTGATGGACCCCCTGTTGCCTAGTGAAGCCGCTAGACACCTCCATGGGCTTGTAGTGCAGTGGATAGTTGAGCAGCTAGTTGTCTGGGTACACTTTGGAGCCACTAGACAGTAATAGGCCAGAATTCCTGAATCCCAGCAGCTCGGGCCAGCAGGTAAGGAGTGGTAAAAAGGAACAAATTCCAAGCAATCTGTGCTACAAAGCAAAGAGGCAGCACATGCTGAGTCCAGGGCTGAGCATGATGGCAGGAGCTATCCGGGGTGGCTTCCTGGAGGCCTAAGGGGCAAGTGGCATCTCCAGGGCTAAGAGAAGGAAGAAGTGTTTTGTTTCTAGGCTGAAGGGAGGGCAGTAGAGAGGTGGAGAGGCTGAATATAGCAATGCTTTGGGGAGTTTATAAGTGGTCTCAGCTGGGCCAGATGTGGTGGTACATACCAGTATTTGGGAGGCAGAGGCAAGTTGATCTCCATGAGTTCAAGGTCAGCCCGATCTATAGAGCAAGTTCCAGGCCAGCCAGAGCTACACAGAGAGAGACTCTGTTTCAAAAAATAGTAAGTGGTCTCAGCTGGCTGGAGTTAGGGCTTGGGTAAGGGAAGGACTGATGATGAGGTTGTAGGATAGCCTGGGGTAAGGCAATGAGATCACAGGCCAGTCAGAGAAGCTTGTATTGCTTATTTGGACAGTACAGGATCTTACTGTCAAGAAATGGGCTTGAAAAAATGGTGGGGCTGGGGAGATGGTTCAGGTGGTAAGAATGCTTGCTAAGCAAACACAAAGACCCAAGTTCAGACTACCAGCACTTATGTAAAAGCTGAGCATGACCATGTGTGCCTGTAACCCCAACACTGTGGGGTAGGTTGGCTGGCCGCCAGCCTGGAGTTGGGGGTAAGAGATGAGCTCTGGGTTCAGGAAGAGACCTTGTCTCAAAGAAATAAGGTGGAGGGCTGGAGAGATGGCTCAGAGGTTAAGAGCACTGCTTGCTCTTCCAAAGGTCCTGAGTTCAATTCCCAGCAACCACATGGTGGCTCACAACCATCTGTAATGAGATCTGGCGCCCTCTTCTGGCCTGCAGGGATACAAGCAGACAGAACACTGTATACATAATAAATAAATAAATCTTAGAAATAAGGTGGAGAGCAGTAGAGAACACCCAATGTGCTCCTCTGACCTTCACATACATGTACACCTGTACACACACACACACACACACACACACACACACACACACACACACACGCCAGCAACAGGTCCTGATGATTTGCCAGCAGTCGTTAGCACATAGCCACCAAGAAAGAAGTGGCCAACAGGAGCATTTTCCACATCGAAAGCTGACTGGAAAAAAAAAATAACCAGAGCTTTCCAGAAGCGCAGGTGACAGAGCTACCCACTGCATATCAGTCCCCCCCAGTGAAGTCACAGATGGGCCATGACCCTCTCTGACAGGCTGGACTTTGTTTGAAGCTGCAGATATGCTGGAGCCCGGGAGGGAAGAGGAAGCGTGCCCTGCTCTATATATACCTGCAGTCACATCTAGCCTCAGTGTTCCAAAGACTACTCCATCCCTCTGCAAAATGAAAGGCAAGAGGAAAATGTGAAAATGATATGTCCTGCTTATTAAAGTATCAGTAATGGTACAGTGATAAAGATAAGCATTATTTGTAGCAGGCCAAAAACTGGACCCCTCAAGACATCCATGCTCCAATTCCCAGAACTTGTGATTAGGTCACCTTATGCGGCACAAGGGAGCTCTGCATGGTGGTATATGCCTGTAACCCAAGTACTTTCGGGGAGAAGGCAGGAGGATCAACAATATAAAGCTAGCCTGGGTGGCATTGTGGACTCGAGACTAGTCTGGGGCTACATGAGGAAAGTCCTGTCTCAGATAAGCAAGCAGGAAGGGTGTGGTGGAGCACACCTGTAATCCCAGCCCTCGGGAGGCAGAAGCAGCAAGCTATCTGTCTGTAAATCTGAAGTCAGCCTCATCTACCTAGCAAGTTCCAGGCCAGTCAGGGCTACACAGTGAAACCTTGTTTCCAAACAACCAACCAACCAACAAAACCCAAGCCAACAAACATGGCAAAGGGGAACTGAGGTTACTAATCTATGAACCAACTTATTTTAAAATAAGATTTTGGCAGGTCATAGTAGTCTATGCCTATAATCCCTAGCATTTGGAAGGCAGAGACAGGACCAGGAGTTATGGTCCTGCCTTGGCTACACAGCATCCAAGGTGAGCGCCGAGCCAGGTCGGTCAGCAGATAAGATTGCTTGTCACCAAGCCTGACAACCTGAGGTCAATCTCTGGGACCCACAAGATAGAAGAGAACTGACCCCCAAAAGTTGTCCTCTGACCTCCACATGTGTGCTGGAACACAAACATGCTCCTTCCCCTAAAATAAATGCATAATAATAAATTAAGGTAATTTTTTTTTAATTCAAGGGCAGCCTAGGCTACATGAGACCTATCAAAAATAGTAGTAAGAGCCGGGCGGTGGTGGCGCACGCCTTTAATCCCAGCACTCGGGAGGCAGAGGCAGGAGGATCTCTGTGAGTTCGAGGCCAGCCTGGGCTACAGAGTGAGATCCAGGAAAGGTGCAAAGCTACACAGAGAAACCCTGTCTCGAAAAAAAATAGTAGTAAGTAATAAAAATAATAATGATTATAATGGGCTGAAGAGAGGGCTCAATTTGTAAAGTACTAACCACGTGAGCACAGGAGCTGAATTTGGTCCCAGCAAGCGCAGAAAAAGCTGGGCATGGTAGTGTGCACTTGTAACCCCAGTCCTGGGGAGCCGGCAACAGGAAGAACACACTAACTTGCTGGTTAGCCAGCCTAATTGGAAAGCCCTACAACTACATGAGAAACTGTCTCAAAACACAAGGTGGACAGCTCTTGGGAATGAAGCTGAAGGTTTGCCACTGGCTTCCCCAGGACGGACGGACGGACGGACGGACGGACACACACACACACACACACACACACACACACACACACACACACACGCGCGCGCGCGCGCGCGCGAAGAAGAATTCTCTCAGTGGACCCGGTGTCATTACAAGAGTCTATAGAAGAAGTCATGATCCACGGGCTGGGGAAGGCCTCTAGGAACTGGAAAAGACAAAGAAATGGATTTCCCAGAAGGAAGAGGCTTCTCGGCACCTCGATCGGAATCTAGGTGACTCATCCTAGACTGGTGATCTCCCAAACTCTAAGAGAATACATCCGTGCTTCTCTAAGCCCCAAGTTGGTTGTCATTCTCTGTGGTATCCCCATGAATACACTAGTACAATGTTGGGTCCTATCCACACCCTCCATAGCTCCCAGAGATAGGGAGGAATCTGCTGGAGCACTTGAAGGAGACAGCCATAAAGCGAGATGAAAATATTTATTTCCTGAATAATTGCATGGCGTAGACAGCGTCACTCAAAGCCAGGAGCAGCTGGAATTCATGAAGCAGGCTGGCTCTTCACACAGGGGAGGTGTCTGATAGGCTGGCAGCAGCCCTGCTGTGAGGCAGAGCTTTACAGTTTACTCTTTGCCGACAGTAGTCTCAGGTTCTCACCCCTCCCCCTCCCAAGATACATCATTTTCTTCTGTTTCTTTCCACATGTTAAAACTACATAGTTGCCGGGTGGTGACGGCGCACCCCTTTAATATCCCAGCACTCGGGAGGCAGAGGCAGGCGGATCTCTGTGAGTTCAAGGCCAGCCAGGCTACAGAGTGAGTTCCAGGACAGGCTCCAAAGCTACACAGAGAAACCCTGTCTCAAAAAACCAAAAAACCAATATATATATATACACACACACACACACACACACACACACATAGTCAAAGTTAAGATCCAAGGTGGATCCAAAAGCTTCAAGTAGTGTCAAGGGTTGTATGGTTAGCAAAAGAATTCTTTGTTAAGAACAAGCACCATTAATAACAAGTCAGAAAACACTTTTAAACTCCAATATTTAAAGCCTTACAGAAATAGAGTTTTCTAGAACTTCGTGTCAGTCAAGCATTTGGCTCACATAAATATACTCCAGGAACACCTTAAGGATTTTCCTTTTGTTTACTGGCAAATAATCCTTGCTGAATCTGCATCACAGCCCCATGGCTGATTCCTGCTGTCCCATTAAACACTGCTCTATAATTCTCCTGCACATAGTTGGCAAATGGTCTCACATGGGGCACAATGGGGGTTCCATCCTTCCAAAAGAATAGCAGCAAGACCAGAGGCCCTTTGCGTCCGGCACAGATGAAGCAAGCATTCAGTGTTCAAGGATCTGGTATAGCAGCCAATCCTGGTGAGGAAGGAGACACCATACCAAAAAAAATCAATCACAACACCTCAACATCAGCTCCAACTTCTTAGCCTTGTACCCAAAGCAATTTTCTGTGGGTTCTGAGGAGCCCCAGGCAGCAGCAGGGTCAAGCTGCTCAAATTAGGGGAGTTAATGGAGAAAGAACACAGAGATAGTGAGATTGACTCCTTAAGTTAGACAGTCCATAGACTTACTAAAGATCTACTTGGTCCTGCAACAGTTCAAGGCCTGCCTAAGCTGCAAAGCTAGTTCAAGACCAGCATAGAAAACTTGCTGGGACTCTGTTTCAAAAAAAACAAAAACAGAAACCACAAGAAAGAGGGCTGGCTGGTGATATGGCTCAGGCATATAGTGTTTGCCTGGCACACATGAGTCCCTTAGTTCAATTCCCAGTACCAGAAAAAGAAAACTAACAATAGCCACGGAGGCCAGAACGACAAAACAATTGGAAAAGCTCTGAAAAGGTCTTCCCTGCATTTACACAGAATACATTCATAGCAGATCTTGTAGCTAATTGTATAGTTATGGCAACGGGTGACATTAGGCAGCTCTGGGTGTACTGAATTGCATTTTTGAGCATAATATTGCCATGAATTACCATGTGATCCCTGATTCTATCAAGCAGCCAGGCTGCATGGCATAGTTCATGGATCAAGGTGTCCTGGATTCGATCTTGAAAGAGGACTAAGAAGAAACAGTCAGCACGAAACTGGACTTTTTCTGATCTACTACGCAGCAAGCCCCTGACGTTCACCCCCACCAACCCAAGGCCATCTCCCAGAAACACACACAGGCAGCTGCAAGTGTTCCCTTCTCAGGACTGAGAGTGAGCCTTCCACTCCAAACAAGCTGGTTTTGGTTTGGGCTGCTCCTAAGTGGTCAGGTTTTTGGGGAGCAGCTCCAGCATGTTCATCTTTTTGTGGGGTATTGCTAGAAATGTACCTGGACGAGGCTTGGTTTCTTCAGTCTCAGGACAAAGGTAGGCTCAAGAGGTATCTCTGGCCATGAGATTTGGCGAGCAAAAGCTTGGGGTAAAATAGAGATCTGAACTGGGCTCTTTAAAAAAAATTAATTACATTTATTGTATGTGTGTGTGAACACATGCACATGCCATGGCATACATGTGGAGGCCAGAGGAGGACTTGGGGGAGTCAGTTCTTCCCTTCTAATGTGCCGGTCCTGGGGATTGAACTCGGATCAACAGACTTGGCACTGAACCATCCATCTAACCTGCCCTGAGCTAGACTCTTAACAACTGACTGAATTTAGACCATACACAACCTGTAATCCTAGCCCTTGAAAGGATGGAACATGTGGATGACCCCAAGTTAGAGATCAGAGTTATGTAGTGAGATCCTATCTCAAAACAGCATTGCTTTGTTTGATTTAGTATTTTTTATCTTTACTGATTTTTTTCTTTGATTTTAGTTTTTTGGTTTTTTGTGGGTTTTTTTTTTGAGAGAGAGAGAACACAGGTAAGTATACATAAAGATGGGTAGGTACTGAGGGTCTGGGAGGAGTTAGAACATGATCAAAATATATTGTATGAAAAACTAGAAAAAAAACACAAAACAAAAAACAGCAGCTCACTTTTGTAATCTCGGCACTGAAAGGCTGAGGCAAGAGAACTATACAAGTTCAGGGTCAGCTTGAGCTATATAGTATGAGGCCAGCCAAAGCTACATCAACCTGTACCCTCACCCTCCCTACCAAAAGAAGGTCATTCAAAGCAGGGCTGGGGACAGACACCTGTATGTACTTCCAGCTACTCAGAAAGCTGAGATGAGAGGTCTGCTTGAGTCTAGGGGTTCAAGACCAGCCTGGACAACATAGCAAGACACCATATCAGAAACAAGCCAGAACCCTTGCTTCTAAAATGAGGGTTGTAGTTGCTCTTCATTGGCATGTGTGAGGCTCTGGTCCCCAATACGGTGGGAGCATTTGGGAGAAGTTAAACAATGTAAGTAATGACTGGACCTAGAAAGTCATGGGCTGCATTTTGAAAGCCAGTGGGAAAAGAATGGTTGACCCACGGGCTAGCGATGGAGCAGTGAGGGGCCAGATGGACCATGGGAAGCAGGAGCAGATTACAATGGCCCCGAAACCCAGGCTCTGAGCAGGAAAGCAACACAGCAGCCCACAGGAAACAAAACAAAAACAAAAACAAAACACAACGGACTGCCGCAGGGCGAAGGAGGAGGGGATGAGTACCCAGACTTGGACAAATGAAAAACCGGAGCAGGGGGTTGATGACTGGCTAGAGCGGGCATCTTGATCCTTGGCATCTGAGAGGATGGAGATGCTGGCTTTGGCAAGGGAAATGTGTAGCTGGGCCTGGAAAATATGTTGAATTCCTAGGAATGGTGAGACATCCAATAATGATGTCCTCTGAGCCACACACACAGAAGGCCTGTCAGCCTAGAAATGACAGTTCAAAGCTGTGACACAGGCTGCCAGGGAAGAGTAGTTGAACAGGTTTGTTATCAGGACAGGGTGCTAAGGCAAAGCCACCATTTTCCTGGAATCACCTGCCGAGTTGCGGACTTGCAGAGAAATCGCAATCTTAGCAATCTTGGGTTCTTGTATCTCATCGGTAGTCATAAACCAGCAGTCCGCGACATCTTTCTATTCCAAGTGATTGCTGTTTTCTCTGGCTGAAACTGAAAAAGGAAAAGCAAACAAAAGTATCAGAAAGCAGTTCTAAAGGTTTACTTTTTAAAAATGTATGTGTATGTGTGTAAGCCTGAGTTTAAGTGTACCACATGTATACCAGAAAAGGCCAGAAGAGACAGGAGCGTCGGGTCCCCTGGAGCTGGAGTTACAGAGCAGTTGTGAACTGCCATGTGCGTGCTGGAAGCCAAAGCTGGGTCTGTTGCAAGAACAGTAAGTGCTCTTAGCTGCTGCGCCATCTCCCTAGAAACAACTCTCAGCATAGCAGGAAATAAGAACAAGAGTTCTTCTCCCTCCAATAAAAAGAAAGAGGACATGCTAATGTGGGTGGAGGAAATTTCACAAGGTGCCACTCCTAGAAGAAAAGGTACAGGCAATAGCTGCCCTTCGGAAATAGTCAGTGTTTTTCCAGGGATGAATCCCTGATGGTTGGTTATACAATCCCAAGTGGTCTGCTCTAAACACATGTACATAGGAGCAACACTAAATGGACTTAGTAGGTTTTACACACACACACACACACACACACACACACACACACACACACACACACACACAAAAATTAAAGAGGTCATGAATTTGAGAGGTGGAGACATAGGAGGAATTGGAACAGGGAGTGATAGAAAAAGATATAAATATAGTACTCACATATGAAATTCTCAAAAACTAAAAAACAATTTAAGAGGAACTGTCTTCCCTACATTCTTGGCTCTGAGTACATGAGTACGCTGAAGAGAAATGTATACAAATACAATGCAAATCTAAACATTCTGGGAAGAATGAGGGGCCAAGTTAAAGTCTGGGGAGGACAATGAATAGGTTAATTAATCAGGACACAAGGAAGGAGATTGTTGGGGCCACATGAATGTAGGATTGTGTCCTTAGATACATGGATCCAAGACTGAGACAGTCAAGGAGAGATGAGCAGCTGCTGAGGTAGGCAAGCATCTGCACAACTCAGAACACTCTAAGGTTCCACTCATCTGATGTAACATCCCTGGCATGAGGAAGGATACCAAAGGATACCTGGAGGACCTTCAGGATATAAGAACTTTCCTACTGCCAGGTCTCTTCATCAGAAGATTATAAAATTGGATTAAACAACAACATGGTCTATGAGAGATGGTACAGCTCAGTGGTAGGGCTCTTTCCTCATATGCAGGAAGCATGGCAAAGAAAACAACAACAACAACAACAAAAACCTCAAAATGAACAAACAAGAGGAGTGGCCAGAAAGTCTCTACCTCTGGATTTTCTAATCGAGTCCATAGCACCAAGCTACTAGCAGATGGACACCATTCAGCGGTAGCTTCCTGTCACATACTCCTGTGCACTGGTTGGTGCCTACCAGTTTAAACTTCACTTCCCCTAACCTGATTCCCAAGGCCATCTAAGACCAGGAAACATGAACTCGCTATGCCTAGGCCCTGTTCTAAGCACTTTATGAATATGAAATCTTGCACTCTAATAGTAATTCTGAGGTAATAAGTACAACTGACCTTGTATTCATGAGTTCTGTACCATGGATTCAACAAACTGCATGCACATCAAAAATGACTAAAATTTATTACATAAATGTATAAAACTGTCAAATAATAAATAAAATAAAATGACGAAAACATGCATCTGAATATATACAGATTTTCCCCTGCCACTCTAACAACTATCTCCTGCATGCTATTTCCACTCTATTAGGCATTATAAGCAACATGTAGATGACTTGAAGTATAGAGAAGGATGCTCAGAAGCCATTTTATATAAGGGACTTGAGCATCTGTAGGTTTTGCAGTTTGTTGAGGGGTACCAGAACCAGTTGTTCCTTGCAGGCACCAAAAGATGACTGTACTATTATTGGCCTCATTTCACAGGAGCCATGGGTAAAATGAGGCTAAGCAACTTGTCCAGCTCCTTCCCATCATCTTCTTTGCCTCAACACATGTCCTTCCCCTTCTGCTGTTCTCAGTACTAACCATTCTTTAAGAAGCAGGAGCCAGCCAGGGCCAGGCTGTGGTGGCGCACGCCTTTGATCCCAGCAGAGCCAGGTGGATCTCTGTGAGTTCGAGGCCAGCCTGGTCTACAGAGTGAGTTCAAAGAGGATCCCAGCAGGGCCAGGTGGATCTCTGTGAGTTCGAGGCCAGCCTGGGCTACAGAGTGAGTTCCAGGAAAGGTGCAAAGCTACACAGAGAAATCCTGTCTTGAAAAACGAACAAATAAACAAAAGAAGGAGGAGGAGGAGGAGGAGGAGGAGCCTCGTGTCTTCCAGGAGATCCTACTTTCTGACTTCTCAGACTTTTCGGCCATTCTCACTCAGCTAATCTCCTTCTGTAATAACCATGTGCTCATATATACAACCCAAAAAACTTATCTTTCACCTAAACATTATCTCTCATGTCTGTTAAGTCCAAAGCGAGCCCCCAAATATGGCAGTGCTGGTGACAATGTCCTAAATAGAAGGATTCTAACTAGGTAAGCAGGATTGTTATTAGGAAGGGCATCTAGTTGCTAATTAACCTGAACGGCCTGTATTAGCACCAAGACCCCCACCTGCTGACTATCATATAAAATCTGCTTGCTTTCCCATTATTTTGACTCTCTGCCCATCTGAGAGATAGCCTTGGCAGTTTGACCTCCAATAGACCTTTCTTTTCTACTCATGGAGTGGTCTAGTTCTACTTAAACTGACCCATCTCCAGGACATGAAGTATACATGGTTAGTGCAGCAGCCAAGAGTGCTAGTGTACAAGAGGCATTTAATAAATGCTCGGTTTTCTACCTTTCCATCAAAGACAGTGTGATTAAGTAGCCTGTGGATTTTCTGAGCCAGCTCTTCCGTATTGTGCTTGAAATTCCTTCCAGAATACTGTTTTAATTTTTCAATATTTTTCAAGAAACATCCAAGTATTTTGCACAGATTTCCTGCAAAGGTAAATTTAGGTGAATTTTGCATGGCTAAAGAAATAGGAGGCCGGGCAGTGGTGGCGCACGCCTTTAATCCCAGCACTCGGGAGGCAGAGGCAGGCGGATCTCTGCGAGTTCGAGGCCAGCCTGGGCTACCAAGTGAGTTCCAGGAAAGGCGCAAAGCTACGCAGAGAAACCCTGTCTCGAAAAAACCAAAAAAAAAAAAAAAAGAAAAAGAAAGAAAGAAAGAAATAGAAGGCATGCATGCATAAAGGTCTAAAAACTTGCTGCTCTTTCCTTCCGTCTCATTATATAAGAACATTTGTTTCCCAGGCTTCTAGCCACAGTGTTTCTCTTTACACATTGTCAAAGGTATGAGGCCAGGTTTCAACCACGCCTCCAGCTCTCCTTTGGTGCTTCTGATTTCACAGTTATTCAATGCAAATTTCCAACAGATTTATGACTCTATCTTTAGCATAACAGGCTCCATAATCAAAATTTTGTCACAACTGGCTGAAAACCTCAGAGGTATTTGAAATCCACTTCCCCTTACCCTGTGTTCAACTGGGATGTGGACTGCTATCCTCTGACTATGGGTCTTCCAGCTAGCATCTCCTTTGCAACTCAGGCTCACCTCTCTAATCGAGTGCCCGTCCTCCCTTTTATACAACAGCACTCTCCACCTGTGCTCCTTACTAACAGGCTCTTTTCACTCTAATCCAACTACTCACTCACTTCCAGACTGATATCATTTCCTTCTGGCTTTTCCTTGACCAGTTGGCCCTGGTAGTCAAGGCCTGAGTCAATGTGGTTCTAACCACTGTTTCCAGCTACCACTTCTACTCTGCTCAAAGTGGACGACTCAAGAAGTTGTCACTGTTTGTTCCCATCTCTATCTTGCAAATGAGGACACTGAAGCTCAGAGGTCAGAGACAACAGATCTTCTGACCCAAATCCTCAGTCTTTTCATTAAACCAAGATTGCTGCCCTATATTCCAAGGCAATCTTCAAAAGCACCAAGAACAGTGCTAACCACAGAAGGACCAATGCTCAGTCACTACTGATTTAAAGAAAAGTGGGGTTTTACAATTTGTTTTTAAGTGGTTTTTAAATTAATTAATTAACTTTACATCCTGATTGAAGTTTCCCCTCCCTCCTCTTCTCCATCCTCCGATCCCCGCCCCTGCCCCCCACCTCACCCCCACCCCAATCCTCTCCTCCTCTGTTTCTGTTCAGGAAGGGGCAGGCTCCCATGGGTATCAATAAATCATGGCATATCAAGTTGCAGTAAGACTAAGAATCTCCCCTTGTAGGCTGGGCAAGGCAACCCAGTATGAGGAATAGGTTCCCAAGAGACAGCCAAACTGTTAGGGACAGCCCCTGCTCCCATTGTTAGGAGTCCCACTGCTGTGGAATATTCCTTTACACTGTGTGAATATATGTCACTGTGATTGGTTTAATAAAGAAGCTGACAGTCCAATAGCTGGACAGAAAGAGATTGGGCAGGAGAGCCAGATTAGGAGAATATTGAAAGGAAGAAGGGCGGATTTAGAGGAAACACCAGCAGAGACAGAGAGAAGCAACATGGGCATGCATTACTGAGAAAAGGTGCCAAGCCATGTGGCAGAGCATAGATAAGAAATATGGGTTAATTTACATGTAAGAGTTAGCTAGTAAGAAGCCTGAGCTATTGACCGAGCATTTACAATTAATACTGAGTCTCCGCGTTGGTTATTTGGGATATTTGGTTATTTGCCAGGACAGGAAAACTCCACATACACTACCAACTAACTGTAATTTACATGCAGAGGGCCTATGTCAGTCCCATGAAGGTTCCCTGGTTGTTGGTTCAGACTCTATAAGCCCCTAATGAGCCAGGTTAGTTGTTTCTGTGGGTTCCCTTGTGATGTCCTTGACCTGTCTGGTTTGTACAATCCTTCCTCCCTCTGGAAATTTTTTTTTTTTTTTTTTGGAGATAAGCTCTTGCCACATAGGCAAGGCTGGCCCCAAACTTGTGGCAATCATTCCAATTGCTGGGATTTACTAGATGTGCCACTATACCTGGAGGAGGCTTTTTAAAAATCATGGCTAGAGGCACGCCTTTAATCCCAGCACTCGGGAGGCAGGGCCAGATGGATCTCTGTGAGTTTGAGGCCAGCCTGGGCTACAGAGAGAGATCCAGGACAGGGACCCAAAACTACATGGAGAAACCCTGTCTCAAAGAAACCAAAATAATAATAATAACAACAACAACAACAATGGCTAGAGCAAACCACGACCCGAGAAATAAGCCCACAGAGCTAGAAAAAGAAATGGGAACACAGTGAGTTTCTGACTTCACAAGCTCACGTTTCTTCAACACTAGGTGTGTATCAGCAAAGGCAGCAGATGACAACCAAGACCACCGGCCAGATGCAGCAGAGGAGAGGACCCGAGCGTCTACTCAGAGAAAGCTAGCCTGCGGACTTAGCAAACCAAACTTTCTCTCCAAACTTGTGCACCCCACATCAAAAGAACTAACAAGCAGCAGCAGCCTATACAAGAACTATGGGAAGCTCCGCAGGAGGCTCCCAGAGCAATGAAGTTCAGCAAGACAGTGCTAAAAGTTCAAACAGGCGTCCACTGCAGAAGAAGGGTAGTGAGGAGGATACCAAGAGACAGCTTCTCCTTTCCTCTGTCAGCAAAGCAACCGAGATATGATCGAGACAAGCATTCCTACAGGCAAAGCAGCTTAAACATATACATAGAATCCAGAGATGATCCCTTGCTGATAGGGGGTCCTAGAGCACATGGCGAACTGTCCCAATCATCTCAGCCACAAAAAGCACAGGGACACAAAGCCTTTTTCTCAGATCGAAGCTGACCTCCCCTACCCCATACCTGACATACCAACTCTTTTCCCCTTCCCCTCCCTGAAGATTTTTCTCTCCCAAAATATAAATTTAATAAGTCATCACCAGGCTGAAGCAGTGTTCCATCCCCAAGCACAACAAAAACAAAACTCACAAAAGAAACCAAAATGCTAACACAAAAATATGCTTCTTCATACATACCTTCTAAGATAATCCAGATGTAGCTGGGCAGTAGTGGCGCACACCTTTAATCCCAATACCCAGGAGGCAGAAGCCAGCAGATCTCTGTGAGTTCCATCCAGGCCAGCTTGCTCTACAAAGCGAATTCCAGGACAGCAAGGGCTACACAAAGAAACCCTGTCTCAAAACACAAAAACAAAACAAAACAAGATAATTCAGATGTAAGTGTGTATTACTCCCAAATGGAAGTAAAACAAGAGATAAAACTGAAAATCCCAGCACTGGGGAGACAGAGGCAGGCAAATCTCTGTGAGTTCAAGGCCAGCCTGGTCTACAGAGTGAGTTCCAGGACAGGCGCAAAGCTACACAGAGAAACCCTGTCTCGAAAAACAAAAAACAAAAAAAAAAAAAAAAAAACCTGAAAATCCTATTTTAAAGGGTAAAGTGAGATTTTTTAGAATCTAAATGAGAAAATGTACTGACTTTTCTAGCTTAAGTAGTAACATGCCTTTGACCCATGCAATCACTTGTTTTTTCTTTTCTTTTTTTTTAAAGATTTCTTTCTTTTTTAATTTATTTTATTACGTGTACAGTGTTCTGTCTGCATGTATGCCTGCAGGCCAGAAGAGGGCACCAGATCTCACTACAGATGGTTGTGAGCCACCATGTGGTTGCTGGGAATTGAACTCAGGACCTCTAGAAGAGCAGTCAGTGCTCTTAACCTGTGAGCCATCTCTCCAGCCCCTCAATCACTTGTTTTTGATAGCTTCCTGTGACTTAATAAAAAAACTCCAAGCAATCTACCGCACCTTAACATTTTTTTTCTTGCATCAGGGACGGACGCTTTGAAAATTCACAGGATAGCATGGATGTGGCTCAGCATTAGAGTGCTTGGCAGCATGTTCAAGGCCAAGGGTTCTAACCCTAATCCTGCTAAACAAAACAAAAGCCAAGAATATACACAATATTAAGGGGAAATGTGCTCATGGAAAGAACTGGAAAAACCTGGAAGACATTTTTAACTACCCTCCCTCTGTCCCCAGATCAGAACATGTAATTGCCTTGTTGATTTTTTGAGGTAAGACTATCATGTAGCCCAGACGGCCTTGACCTTGATTTGTAGAGGGCAGCCTTTAAACTCCTAATTGTCCTGCCTCTGCCTGCTGATTGCTGGGATTAATGTGCCATCACATTCAACTGTGTTGGCTTGCTTAAGTACAAACAGATGGCCATCAGGCTGTGTCTAGCCTAAGAAGTGCCTTGGCCCTTTAATCCCAGCACTCAGGAGGCAGAAAGACAGGTGGATCTCTGTGAGTTTGAGGCCAGCCTGATCTACAGATGGAGATCCAGGATAGGGACCAAAGCTACACAGAGAAACCCTGTCTCAAAACCACAAAAACAAACAAACAAACAAACAAACAAAGTGCCTTGGCTACATATACATCTTCGACCTGAGTATAAGGATAAAGTAAACTTCAGAGGCCAGAGAGGCTGTGAGGCTGAAGGAAGCACTCTGCCAGGTAACAGCTAAGATTTAAGTAGAGCACACAGGCATTGTGCTTTGGCTAGATGGCTGGGGTGGGGGGGGGAGACACGATGATGACACATGGAACCAGCAGGTGACCTCATCACTCTACATGTGCATGCTCAATTAGGGTCAGAAACTTTTGTCCAACCAGACTCTGAAAGGACCAAGCAGACACCATAACAGGCTACTCAGTCTTCTCTCAAAGATCAGGCCTCAATTTCAGTTTCCTGAGACTTAAGCAGTTTCTGGAAGGGCCACGAACAAAAGACATAGACCTTACAGTAGCTCCCTTTCTGCCCTTACTCTGACTGCTCAAGGTTCAGCCAGATGTTTACTGTCTAGTGTTGTGCCCAGATCGTGACCCCCAGAGAGACCACCAAAGATGAGCATGCCGGAATGCAAAAGCAAGGTTTAATTCTGGATATCCAAAAGCAATACAAGCCTAGGCAGGGACTTCGTCCAATACATCCAACGCAGTGGAGGCTGGAGGAAGTGCCCACCTGTCTGCAAGCTCAGCTTTTAAAAGGGAAAAGTCATAAGGTTACATCATTTAGGGGTGCTAGTACGGATACAATTCTGATTGGCTCGCTTCTAGGGACTTCTAGAAATTACTTCTAAGGGAGTGGTTGCCCGCCACCATTTCTCATTGGCTGCCCTCAGGTGGGGGCATTTCTGTGGTCAGTTACCCTGGAAACCAGGGAGAGGACATTCCATAGTCCGGCAGGCATTACCTCATGACTATCTTGTGACTCTGTACTTTTACACTTCCTGGTTTCTGGAATCTGAACTGACTGGTTTCAGTAACTAATGGGCTATTCCCAAAAGGAGAAATCGTAGGCCTTAATTTTTGGGTGAAAGCATTTTGGTCTTATTTCTAAGATGGCTCATTTTGGTCTCACATCTAGGACCCCTCACCAACTTAGAGATACGTGCATGGGTCAATGTGAACATGCTAGTGTTAGTTAATTGGCTGCGCTGTGCTCTTACCCTGCAAGGAAATGTCATGAAACATGACAGAATCTGCTAATAAGAGTTTTATTAAAGATAAAGGGACAGAGAGTACGCAGGCCTGTGGGAGAGACGCGTGTGTGGAGAAGAAAGAACCGGGAAAATGGCGCTGGATTTTAAAGGCTGGGCATGCACAGGTCGATGGCACTACTCCACACGTACACATAGATCACATGGCTACGTTGCGCGCTTATCTAGCCATGAAACGTCATGAATCCTGGTCATGCGAGACGCCTTGACCTGGAAATGGCTATCTTGACCTGGAACTGGCTAGGAGGAAGTGTCCAGGTCCGCTGAGCATTCTGGTCACGCGAGATGCCCTGACCCAGAAATGGCTATCCTGACCTGGAACTGGCTAGGCGGAAGTGTCCACTGGGCATATGCAAACACACCCGACTGTGGGTGCGTGTTGTGAACCCTTCATCTAGGCCAGCCAACCCCCATGGCAGCTCAAGGACAAAGCCTGGGACTTGTCCCAGACAGCCCCCAAAATGATAATTGTAAACCCCAAACCAGTAAATTCAAAGGTTACATACCCTCACCCAATTAAAAGAGAACAGAGACCTTCAAAAATAAAAATAAACCAATCCGAGTTGTACCTGTGCCAAACTCCCAAACCCCCTGATGGGCTTGTGGTTTTTACCTTTAAATAGCTAGCCTCACAAAGAAAGAGCAACTCCTCCCTGCCTCACTGTATTGGGTGTAGGAATGAGTTCCCTGTCTAGACTTGTATCTATAGAATAAACCTTGCTGTTGCATTCTGGACATCCTCGGTCTTCAGTGGTCTCTTTGGGGTTGCAATCTGGGCATAACAACTCCATCCCCTTCAAGTCTCCAGTATCCCCTGGACTGATGAACACACAAAAAAAATGCCATCATATTCTATGCAAGTAAGCACATGAGCAGTACACATATCCAGTCTTACAATTTTCAACTTTTGCTGCAATCAATGGGTTTCTTCTGGGAAGGCCCCTAACTTTTTTGTCTACTATTAGCTGAAAGGATAATAGTTGATTGTACCCTGAAAATTGGTACCATCAAGCAGCTGACAGAAGCTCAAGTAGAGCTCTCCTGGCTGGGTGTTGGAGGCACAGCACCTGGGAGGCAGAGGCAGAGGCAGGGGGAATCTCCAAGTTTGAGGCCAGAGTAGTTTACAGAGGGAGTCCTGTCTCAAAAAAAAAAAAAAAAAAAAAAAGGCTCTCACAGGTAAGCACAGGGCAGCACCTACAAGACTGTGTGGGCAGACTACATACTGTTACCTTCTGAGTCCCCAAACCCACCCCTTCAAAGCCCGCCCAACACAGCTCCTCCCCACACCCGCCCCCTTCAAAGCCCGCCCAACACAGCTCCTCCCCACACCCGCCCCCTTCAAAGCCCGCCAAACACAGCTCCTCCCCAAACCCG